TTTCTTTCTTTCTTTCTTTCTTTCTTTCTTTCTTTCTTTCTTTCTTTCTTTCTTTCTTTCTTTCCCTCCTTCCCTCCCTCTCTCCCTCCCTCCATCCCTCCCTCCCTTCCTTCCTTCCTTCTTTCTCTTTTTTATTTGGTTGTTGTGGGACTTGAACTCAGGACCTTGATGCTGTCCCTGAGCTCTTTTGTTCAAGGCTAGCACTCTACCACTTTGAGCCACAGTGTCACTTCTGGTTTTCTGGTGGCTAACTGGAGATTAGAGTCTCACAGAATTTCCTGCTCAGGCTGGCTTTGGAACCATGATCCTCAGATCTCAGCCTCCCGAGAAGCTAGGATTACAGGCATGAGCCACCATTACCCAGCTTCTATTTTTGTGGGCACCTATAAGAAAAAGGAGGTTGGGGGCTGGGAATGTGGCTTAGTGGTAGGGTGTTTGCCTAGCATGCATAAAGCCCTGGGTTCAATTCCTCAGTACCATATAAACAACAACAACAAAAAAAGCCAGAAATGGTGCTGTGGTCAAGTGGTAGAGTGCTAGCCTTGAGCAAAAGAAGTTCAAGGACTGCCCAGGCCCTGAGTTCAAGCCCCAGAACTGGCAAAAAAAAAAAGAGAGGACAGAGGACGAAGGCCCTGGGGACGTTGGTATTGGAGAAGCATCAGGGCACTCTATTTGGTGGTGAAGGTTACAGGAGGACAAACAGACGGGGCACTGACTTCTGATAGATTAGACACCCAAGGAAAAAGTTCCCAGGAATACTTACAGCAGAAATATGGCAGAAAATTATCCCACACTGAACTGGAGGTGGTACTGGTATAAAAGGTCAAGACAATTTGTGGATAATCTAGAGGTTTATTCTCAGTTCCTACTCTTTGCCATCTTCAAATAGTGATTTAAGCTGTGTCATACTCAGCCCTGATCCAGGCCCTGGCCTCCCCGTTCTACCATACCCAGAGTTGGTGCTCAGAGGCTCAGACTTGCCCTGAGGACACTGCAGCTGTGCAGAGGGCTGACTCTCCCTAGGATGTGTGGGTCCCGCACCTGGCAGATCCCAGAAGAGGAGAGTGTTTAGCTGTACTCTTCACCCAGGTGTCCCTTTGTCCATGCTCATGAGCATGGTAGAAGGGCCACTCTCCCGGGGGATGCTTGCTACCCACCGCCTGCCTACCTGCTTTAGGGCCACTTGTTCCACCCAGCCCTGGCCCTGGGGCCATAGCCTTGATCGCAGATCCCTGAAGGTGCCTGCCAGAGCCTGTCGGGGCTCCCGTCGTAGTAAACAGTAAAGCACAGGGTTGAGGCAAATGTTGCTGTGAGCCAAGCAAGTGGTGACAGGGAAGACGTAGGTATGGATGATGTAGAAAGTGCTGTCCCAAGGCACCAGGTCAAACTTCACCAGGATACCCCATAGTGTGACCACATGGTTGGGGAACCAACAGAGGAAGAAGGAGGCCACCAGGATACGGACAGAACGAGCTATGACTTTGCTGTCTTGCCGCCGTCGCTGCCTCTGCCGCAGAAATGCCAGCAGCAGCAGGTAGCTGGTGGTGATGATGCCTAAGGGGACCACAAAGGCTAGAATCACCCTCTGCAGCTGGTAGGCCCCAAGCCAATACTTGCTGGGGAAGCGCAGCAGGCAGAGGCGCACGCCCCACATCTCACCCTCAGCCCCAAAGATAGCTGTAGGTGCTGTCACCAGGGCAGCTGCCACCCATACTGCCAGGGTGGCTACACGGGCCCAGAAAAGAGAGAAATGGCTGCCCGGCCCTGCAGCCATGGCCACCACCCAGTATCGGGCAATGCTCAGTGCTGTGATGAGGAAGATGCTGGCATAGATGTTGAGGACAGTGGCTGTCAGGACTATCTTGCAGAGGGCACTTCCAAAGGGCCAGTGGAAATCCAATGCTGACTCAGCTGCCCAGAAGGGGAGAGTGAGGGCCAGCCCGAGATCTGACAGCGCCAGGTTGAAGACAAAGGTGTCTGAAGGGGTGCTGGAAGCTCGCCGGTTACAGTTCCCCAGGACCCAGAGCACAGCCAAATTTCCAAGCAAGCCGATTGCCCCCACAAGCCCATAGGCGAGGGCAACTGTGACCCGCAGGATGAGGAATTCAACAGGCATCGCTGCATCATCAGCACTCAGCACGCTGCCTCCAGACGTGTTGATCCAGAAGAACATAGGCAAAGCGGCAGAAGAATTGAGTGTGAGCATTGCAGAACATCAGAAGTTGGTGGTGCTGAGCAGAGGGACCAGCAAGCGCCCACCAGACACCACCTCAAGTTCTCAGCAGGTGGCTCAGGACTGAATGTTTCTCTGGGGCCTTCTAGCTGTCAGGAGCCCAGCCCACACCCACACCCACACCTCAGAGGGAGGGGTGTAGCTGGAAAAGCCTACAACTTCCCTGTAGCACAAGACTGGTGGTAGGTGGGGCAGGACACGGAGTGTGTGTGTGTGTGTGTGTGTGTGTGT